CCATCTGTCGTGCCTTCTCTCTGGGGCAGCATTGAAATCCCCCGCAATGATCAATGGGACGCCATCCGGTACGCGTGCCCCTAAGTTGCCTAAAAAGGATCTTCTCTCACCAACCGTGTTAGGGGAATAGATGCATAAGATGCATAGCAGTTATAGATCCAGCATCCCCAGTACTGACACCCACCATCCTTCTTCCTCGTCCGCCACCCAATGGACCATCTCAAATCTGGAGTCGGGGGGTATCCAAATCGCTACCCCCGCTGATCCGGGTCTGGGGGCATGGGCCGTTACCGCCAAATTGGGCCAGACCATCTTGTGAGCTCTGTTATGTTCTGGTTTATCCTGCAGGTGGGTCTCCTGCATGCGTATCACATCTGGCCATCGTCTCCCTCCTACCCCCCTAAGTTGATCCCAAATGGCCTGACATTTTTATGGATTGTTTGGTTGCCAGGCCGTTTACGTTGATAGAACGGAGATCTAAGTCTGTCGTTCTGACACATTGTTTCCAGGCCGGATTTCTCCAGTATAGTGTTTCCAAGTCAGTCATCTGTGCTGGATGGGAGGTTTTATTCACAGGGTGTGCAATTGTTTGATGTCCCATGTATCTAGAAGCAGGACTTTCTTCAGCAGGATTCTACACAGACATTTGCACACGTCGTCTTCAGACCAGTAGTCACTGGTTTTAACCTTTGTACACTGTAGATCAAGCAGTGCATTGTGACTAAACCAACGCAGATTGGCGGTTTATTTGGTTCGAACAGGAAGTATAGGTCATTCCTTGCCATCTGCAGGTCGCTACCCGCAAATCTCATTGCTGCCCTCGCCCCGGGTGCGTAGTGTCTGGGCACAAAGGCTTGCATTTGGTTTGTGAAGACTGTCCCTTTCCTTCAGATCTGTAATCTGCGCCGGGAAGTCCCACCCTTGCAGTGTCACCCCGCCATGCTACCCCATCGGGGAGAGCCCAATCTCCCATTCCCATCTGTTTTTCTCATAGGGATTACTACTACGGCGTCCGTAATGGTGAGGGGCAGCTCGAAGAGACCCCGTTCCACAAGTTGTCGCAGCTTGAGGCACCTTGAGGTCATCCCTTCCTCTCCGTCCTCCCCTTGTGTAGCAGCCTGTGTACCATCTGCAGGGGCGGGGGGTGTCGTGAGTGCTCTTGATCTGGGGCGGGTGGAGGGCGAAATCGGCTACGGGCGATGGCCAGGATTCTCTCGAAGCTCTCTGCCCATGTCAAATGGGCTGGGGGGGCGTTTGTCAGCGCAGCTCTGAGTGTCGGGCTGTTACGTAAGAGTGTGACCAGTCCCACGTAGGACGCGTCCCAGTATTCGTCCCTTCCCATCACGCCCTCCTTAGCGGACTCGGAACGTAGATGTTTGATAATCCATTCCGTGTATCTGGATCTTCTGATCCAGGTCCATTTCCTGGGGGGGGGGCGTCTGGGTCCGTTTGGCTGTCCACCATTTCAACTTCTGGAGGAGGGGAGGATGTATCTATGTCCATTGGCCGGGCCCCGAAGGCGTCGGAGAAAAAATCCGACGCTTGATGTTTGTGTTCTACCTGCGAATTCTGTGCGTGCTGCGGTTGTTTCTCCTCCAGATTGTGCTGCCCTGCCCGTTGCTGTGCTGGCTCTGCCCGTGGCTGTGCTGGCTGTGCTGGCCGTGCTGGTGGGATGTATGCGCCCTGTGGATTAGCTCTAGTTGTGCCTGTTCTGTCTGGCGTGCAGATTGCTGTTCCTGGGGAGGCGGTGCGTGGTGTGTCTGTTCCTTAGACCCTCTCATCTGTGGCCTGTTTTCCTCCTTTCGAGTCTCTGTGTGGTCCCCCCCCCCCCCCCCCTTCCCACCAGAGGGTGGAACTTTATCACAGGTCGTAGAGGCTCCCTGGTTTTCTCCTTGGTTTTCCAGCATTACGATCTCCTGACTCTTCTGACTCTTCTGGCCCTCCTCCTGCTCAAGTTTCTCTCCATCTCCTCCATCCCCGCCGTGTAACTGACCGGATTCTCTCATCAGCGGAGCAAACCTGTTGGCCCCCGATTCTTTTTCTGTTCTAGGCTTTACCTCTATTAATTTTTTTTTCCCTTGCTTATTCCCCCTGGCTTTTTCCCAAGATTCCCCCTTTTCTGTCATCGCGGGCATCAACCGGGTTGACTGTTGCAGGTGGGATTCCAAGGTTTTGTCATTTCTGGCGGTCTGGTGTCCTGTCGTGGTTCGCCCTGCCCGTCCCATGTCCAGCCCACTACCCCCCCCTGTCCTGATTCATCGATGTAGACCCAACCTTCATGGTGTGGGTCAACTGTCTGCCACCGAGTGTCTGCAAAAGGGTCTTTTTGTAAGCACCCTGTGGGTTTGGCTGCTCGAGAGGGGTGACGGGCACACGCCGTATCTGTGTACAAATGCCCACAGGCCTGGCATTTGAAACACCAGGGCCATAGTTTGTGGGCGGTATGGATGCAGTACATCTTCCCACCTATGCAGTATGGGATTATGTCATCGATGGTAAAGATCTGACCCTCAGCTAGTCTTATGGCCAGCATGAGATAGTCATCTCTTCGTGGAACGTGCGGTGGGAGAGGGTCGATAAAGTTGACCATGTCGAATTTCTCTGCAAAATCTTGTATGAACGCGGCCTGGATTTCTATCGGAATGTGCCTAAATTCTACCCAGAAGTATTCCCTTATCAGTTGTTCCCTCCGCTCCTCCGGTCGCTGTTGTTTCGAGCAAGTACTCGGCAACGGAAAGATACAGCGGCACAAACGATGGGGAGCAAGGCCTGGCCCAAAGTGGTAGGGGAAAAGAGCACCACGACACTAGGATATTCAATCGAATGAAGAGGGGTCGTGGCGCAGGGCTTTCCTGGATGCAATTGCAGTTAGATGCATCCAGAAAGGTCGGGGTGGGAGTATGGCAACTTTTTTGTAATTGTGCGCCAATTGCAGCCAGATAAAGTACAGCCCGGAAGGCGCATGGATTCTGGGGCCCTAACTCGACAGCTTTCTCGTCGTGCTGGCTCTTCGTGTCTGCCAAGAAAGAAAAAGTTGTTAGGCGGTTTCCCCAAGTTTCGGGCATTGCTGTGTTAGTTGCCTTGTGCTGGCTCTTAGCGTCTGCTGCCAAAGACAAAGTCGTCAGGCGGTTCCCCCATGCTTCGAGCATTGCTACGTCAGTCGCATTGTGCTGGCTCTTCGTGTCTGCCGCCAAAGACAAAGTTATGCATGCCCGATTTGACATCCCTCCCAGGGAAAGAAAAAGAAGTGTCCCGGTCTCATGGATCTTAGCTGCCATTTCGGTTAGATAGCTTCTATCGCAGCAAAAACTGCACGGTTTCCCGTGCTTTTTTTTTTTTTTTGTTTCCCCTGATCCCCCGGTTGCCCTGGAAAGCACCCGACGGCTGCTGCTGGAACTGGCTGTGCGCAGTGCGCTTCTTTGCTGGTGCCCTGCGTCCCCTGCCCCCCTCATGCTCCCCGCCGCATGTGTGGCAGGCATCCGCTTGTTTATCACTATAGTATTACGGGGAACCCCATAGCAGCCTCCAATGAGGGAACATGCAGGGCTGCACCTGACTTGCAGGTGGGCGATACCGGCTAGGGGTCAGCCTCCATCAGGGTCGAGCTGCTTCGATGGGCCAGTCGCTGTGCCTCCCGTTCGGTCCCCTCCCCCTACGAACATCAGCAGTCACTGCTCAACGCCGCTTGGGGGGGCCAATGAGCTATCTCTAGGTGGCAGGCGCCAAGCTTGGCCAGGAAGATATATGAGGCCAATGAGGATTGAGCCCAAGACCCCCCGAATGCCATTTGCATGCCTTACCAACTGAGCCAGGTCTCTGGACCAATGATGATATCTTAAGGCTGGCCCTAAATATGGATCGAAGGTAAGATGGTGCTGTACGGTGTTAACCTTGAATGGGAAGAACTTTCGTGGTCTTTGTCGTCCCCTTTGAGGGAGTACCAGTACCGGGACGAGATCATCTGCCAATAAAGTTTGCAAGGGCACTAATCGATGATTGAGTGGGTTGCCGAGGTCCTCATATCCAGTGTCACAAAGCCAAGTAGAGATAGTGACCTTTTTTTTTTTTTGGGACAAATACTCCAGTCTATTTGTGGGGAGCAGCACGTGCTGGGAACAGGGCCCAGCGTCCCATATAGCATTACACAAGTCATTTGAGATACCGGGGCCATTACCCGACTTCGGCTGAGAATCAATCTGAGAACTATTGAAGAAATTCAAAAAAGTTCAAGAGAATTAAACATTTAGAAAAAATTGGGTAATTGTTGGCCTATTGCTAAGCTACTGAATGCTCAGAACCCCAGGACTCCTTAACAAAACCCTCTAAAATTCTCCAACACTATCTTATTCCCTGCCGAGCTCCCCCAGGCCTCATGCCCCTACCCTGCTAGGTTACAGGGCAACACGACTCACCCCAGCTCTGGCCAGCGTCGTCCCGACAACAACCCTTGGTTTTCCCTTAGAATGCCCGCCCCAAGGCATCCCCAGATCTCTCTACCAGGCCTCACGCTCCTGCTATCAACAGGTTACAGCGCAACCCCCCCAGCACCGGCCAGCGTCGTTCTGGCATCGGAAAACCGCAGATCCATGAATATGATTGCATTAAAAAAGCCAAAATTGAGTTGTAAGAAGTACCCAGAATCCTAAAGCATTTTCAAGAGCATTCAAACAAACAATCCACCCTCATTCCTCCAACCCCCTACTCTTCTTCATCCTCCGACAAGCCGACCCCCTCCACCACATAGTTCGTGGGATGAGAACAACAGCCGCACCCACACAATGGACACCTTCCTCAAATATTCCTCATCTCACGACGAGCCGACCTCCTCCACCCATAGTTCACAAGACGAGGAGTAGCAGAAATCAGGTGAACTCACCAATCCTTGCCCTTACTTAATAAGTGCAGCACTACACTTCTTCAGAAACCATCAGAAAACATCCTCCCTCTTCCCTTCAACCCCCTACTCTTCATCATCTTCCCCATGCTAATCTTCTCTGTATCGTTCCAATTTTAACGGATATCCCGAAGAACTCCCTTTTCAGAGTTTCAACTTTGAAGTTTTAAGATAATAATAATAATAAAAAAAGAAGGGTACAAGAGAGAAAGGGTAAGAGAAGTATCAGTGGGCCTAGCTTAGTTGGTACACCCACCAACTGTTGAGATGCAGACCTGAGTTCAGATCCAGAAATCAAAAAGAAAAGGAACGAAAGGGTAAGGGAATCAGAATGGAACGCAGGCTACCCCACCTTATCTCAGCAGTTCCATTTTATGTTGTTTATACGACGTGCCACACTTTCGCCGGCCTGTTTTTGTGACCAGAGAACCCTTCTCAGCAACCGCGCTGAGTGGACCCGTGCCAAGTGTGCTGCTCCTGCTAAAGCTGTTGCCACTGGGAAGCGGAGCCGTGGGATCGGACAGCTTCTGGAGCTCTGCATTGTTGGAGTTATCGGCATGACTTTCAATGGGAACGGTTTCCTGCTTTGCCGTTGATCTTGACAGGATCTCGTTCGCTTGCTCTGTGCATTTGCATGGCAATGATGACGGCACACAGTTCTCGGAGCACAAGGTAATGCAGTTGCTGCTCCTGGATGCTCCTGCGGTCGTTCTCGAGGAGGCAACACCGAAATCGAATGTATACATGGAGAATGGATTCGCATGTTCCCTAGCCGTTGTGGTGTCTTTCTGCAATGAGTTCTGATCGACTTCGCGTGTGCATCTTTTCTGTACATGACCTGAATCGCTGCCCCTGTTAGAAGATCGACTACTACCATCCTTTCCCCCTTCTGCTGCACGTTGACGGCTGGCAAGCCGCATGTTTTGCTCTTGCTGCCGGCTGCATGGCTTGAGCTTCATGAGGGGCAGACGGCCTGCCGGCTTCTCTGCTTGTGCCAGGTCGGGCGATACCTTGATAAACAAGGCCGAGTCCCGGAGGACTTCTTCTTGCCGATTCGTCGAACCCAGACCACCCTCACAAGGAGACAGATTCCTTCCTTCCCTCCGGTCATCTTCTCGTATGCATCGTTCATGCACATCACCAGAATCACTGACCATGGTAGAAGATCGGCCACCACCATCCTTCTGCCCTTCTGCTGCAGCTTGGCGGCAGGCAAGCCGCATGTTTTGCTCTTGCTGCTGGCTGCATGGCTTGAGCTTCATCAGGGGTAGATGACCTGCCAGGTTCTCTGCCTGTGCCGGGTTGGGTGATACCTTGAGAAACAAGGCTGAGTCCTGCACGACTTGTACTTCTTGCCTATTCGCCGAACCAGGACCACCCTCACAAGGAGACAAATTCCTTCCTTCCCTCTCTTTCCCTGTAGATGTACACGTTATCCCCGTCTTCGTCTGCTGCCATCCGGTGGATGCACCTGGCTCAGAAACGGGAAAACTAAGCAAACATCTAGCTGGATTCTCCATCTCTGCCGGGTCGTGGGAGGTCTTTACAACCAAGGTTGAGTCTCGTACAGATCGCTTCTGATTGATTCCGAACGGACCACCCTCCAATGGAGGAGGAAGTCGACCACCCTCGTTCTCTTCTGCTGTGATGGAGGTTTCTTTACCTGCAGTGTCTGTGCATTTCTGTTGGTATTTGTTCCGTGCCTTGATCATGCGAAGGGAGAGCGACATACGTGTTGCAGGTCTCTCGGTATGAGCAGGGTTGGGTAGCGTGCATGAAACCGAGGCCGAGTTTTGTTGAACGCATTGCTTCTGCTCATTTGGAAACAGACCACTCCTAACAACCGAACATCGGCTATCTCCAGTCTCTTCTCCGGCAAGAGCGGTTCCCGTACCACTTCGCATGCCTGGTCCCATACCTCTTTTCCCGGCGGGCCCGTGTGTGCCTTCCCATGGCTTAGGCTTGCAAAGGGGCAGTGATGAAAAGGTTGCAGGTGCCTCCGTCTGTGCTGGGTCTGGCACATTATCAAGCCCTGCAGCCGAAGACTTGTCTTGCAATTCATGAGAGCTGGTGCTCTGGAGGCAAAGGCTATTGCTTCCTCTCCTGTTGGTGGTCCTGCTACTGCTATCGCTCCTCCTCGTACTGTAACTTGTGTCATGTCTTGTACTCCTATTGCTCCTACTGCTATTGATTGTGCTGCAATAGCCGCTGCTGCTGCAGCTGCTATTACTCGTGTTGGTATTGCTGCTGCTGTTCCTGGTGCTATCCCTGACGTGAGTCCAGCCGAGTGGCGCATCACTGGCTGTAGAACCCCTTTCCTGATGGTCGCAAGGGTCCTTTGTCCTTTTCGTTTTTGTATCAGCAGTCACAGAAGAGATGGAAATTTCATGGGCTGGATTACCTGACCCACTGCGCACAGAAAGAGGAGGAGGAGGTGACGACACCCTTCTCATGGTGCTGCTCGTGCCAAAGAATTCATCCTGACTACAAGTAACAAGCGATTCGATGACTTCCAGAAATGGAGCTCGCCTGCCATTTGACCCACCATCTACCATTTGGTCTGCTTCAGATTGAATGCCTAATGTTGTTTCCTGCCCGTCTTTCAGTATACTATCTTTTCCAACATGAAGATCGGCGTCGACACCAGTCTGTCCACCACCTTCAACATTGCAAGTGATAGCCTCAACTGCCCTGCTAATCAACACACTTATTGAAGACCCACCGCTTGTCGATGTGTCTCTGTCATCATCATCATCATCAATATCAATGACAAGTGTAGGCAACCTATTAGGCTCATCCCCTTCTCTGCAAATCTTCTCGAATCTTTGATTCGCAGATTTACTTGGGAATGGCCTCTGTCCCTTCTCAATGGTGTTAACTGTTAAAACATGTTCCGGTCTTCGACCACATTCTGCCATTGAAGCACATTGTGTCCCTGGAGTGTCAGCTACTCCTGATATACTCAGTTCCACATGTTCTCCCCTCCGTTCCTGGACCACATTCTGTTCGCGGAGCACATTCTGTTCCTGGGCCTCATTCTTTTCCTGGACCACAGTCTGTTCCTGGAGCACATTCTGTTCCTGGAGCACATTCCTTTCATGGACCACATTCTGTTCCTGGACCACATTCTGTTCGCGGAGCACATTCTGTTCCTGGGCCTCATTCTTTTCCTGGACCACAGTCTGTTCCTGGACCACATTCTGTTCCTGGAGCACATTCCTTTCATGGACCACATTCCTGTCTCTTATACACATCTAGATGTGTATAAGAGACAGTTCTGTTCCTGGGCCTCATTCTTTTCCTGGACCACAGTCTGTTCCTGGACCACATTCTGTTCATGGAGCACATTCCTTTCGTGGACCACAGTCTGTTCCTGGAGCGTCTTCTGTTCCTGGAGCACATTGTGCGCTAGAATGCTTTCTGCCTGCCCGAGATTGTTGTGGCCATTTACTTCCCCCCTGTCCTCCTTTCCATCACTTGCAGAAGTCTGTTCCTGGACCACATTCTGTTCCTGGCGCACATTCTGTTCCTGGAGCACATTCTGCACTAGAATGCATTCTTCCCGCCTGAGAGCGTTGTGGCCATTTACTTCCACCCTGTCCTCCTTTCCATCGCTTGGACTAGTCTGTTCCCGGAACACATTCTGTTCCTGGAGCACATTCTGTGCCTGGATGCTTTCGTCCTGCCCAAGATTGCTGTGGCCATTTACTTCCCGCCTGTCCTCCCTTGCATCGTTTGCACAAGTCTGTTCCTGGACCACATTCTGTTCCCAGAGCGGATTCTGTTCCTGGGGCACATTCTCTGCAAGAATGCTTTCTTCCTGTCCGAGATTGCTGTGGCAATTTGCTTCCTGCCTGTCCTCCTTTGCCTCACTTGCACACGTTTCTCCACCTGCACAGCTTTCAGCAGGTGCCAGTGGACGCATTCCACACTCATGTCGGTGGAAGTACTTTGAGCTGACTATGGGCCTCTGCAGCAAATCCTCATTGCCATTAGAAATTCGGTTTGTCGTTCCCCCGGAGCCGCTCTCCTCTCCAGACATGTCTTTTTGCCTTATCTCTACTGGTTTGCTATTTTTTCGAGTGCTGATAGTACTCCCTTCCACGCCATGCTCCCTCTCATTGGTGGGATCAGGCTCCCGACCCCCACCGCATTTGGGCGAACGCCGTTGGAGCAATGAATAGGCTCGATCCTGTGAGCGCCTTGAGCCAACCACTGTTATCATTTGTAGATCATCATCTGAGGTTTCGTCATCGGAAATGCAGTTTACAACCACAGAGCAACTGTTGTTCCGGCCAGGTCCCCGTCCAGATCTGGCCTCCAACTTCTTTTCATCTCTTCCAGCCGATACTCTGGATCTGCTTCCAGGATCCACACTGTTACGTCCAATCTGCCCGGATTTGGCACCAGTCCTCTTCACATCACTTCCACTGTTGTCTCGTTCCAAGCTCAGTCCAGATTCAGGATGAGTCTTGGCCTGGTTCTTTCTCCGTTCAGATGCTGGAACCGAATGTGACTCCTGCATGGGTCCAGATCCGGTTCCGGCATGCGTTCCGGTTTCCCCTGCATCGTGTCCAAGGCCCGATTCTAGCATGGATCCAGATCCGGTTCCAGTCTGGATCCGAGTCCTGTTGTGATGCAAGACCGGAACCAGATCTAGCTCTGGTCTGGATCCAGATGCAGTTCCGCTGTGATTTGCCTTGCTCCCAAGATCGGTTTCAAACCCAGATCCAGATGTGATTCCAGTCTGGATCGCGTTCCTGTTGTGATGCAAGACCGGAACCAGATCTGGTGCTGGCCCGGATGCGTATGCAGGTCCAGTTTGATCTGCCTTGCTCTCAAGATCGGGTTCAAACCCTGATCCAGATCTGGTTCCAGTCTGGATCCCGGTCCTGTTGCGATGCAACACCAGAACCAGATCTGGCTCTGGTCTGGATCCGGTTCCAGTTCCAGTTTGATTTGACTTGCTCCCAAGAGTGGCTTCAAACCCGGATCCAGGTCTGGTCCCAGTGTGGATTCCGATTCTGTTCTCCTCCGACACTGGAACCAGATGTGGCCCCGGTCTGGACCTGCATGCAGTTCCTGTATGGTTTGCCTTGTATCCAAGCTGTGGCTCTAATCTGGCTCCAGATTTGGCTCCAGTCTGGATCCCAATCGCATCCTTTCCCAAGTCTGGAGTCGGATCTGGGTCTCGACTGGATCTGGATGCGCTTCCGACTCTCTTCATGCTGTTTCCCAGCGCCAAGGTGGATGTTCTCCGAAACACTTCCAGTTTGGATCCACATCTTGTCTTTTGCTTTGCACCTCTTCCAGCGGGACCGGCTCTTCTTCCAATTCCTGTCAAGTCATCATCTGAGCTTTCGTCATCGGAAACGAACATTCTAGCTTCCGGAAAACAATTTTTCTGAGAACACGGCCGCCCCCGTCCAGATCCTGGTGCACTTTTCTTCTGAGCTTTGCTTCCGACTGCCCTGGAACGGGACTCTGGTTTCTTCTCGACTCTCCCAAATGGTCCAGAGCCAGATGTGATTGTCGTCTTCTTGGCATCTTCATCCACACTTTTGTCAATCGAAGTTTTCGCTCCAGATGGACCTGAACGAGATCCTCCGCAATCCTGCCCACCACACTCTGGCCCTGCTCTAGGTCCACTTCCACTTCGGGTTGCCTCATTGCCAAAGGTTCCAGTTTTCTTCAAATCGTCACTCTTGACCCGTCTGAACTGGTCAGTGATAGCTACGGCTTCGACATCACCGGTCCCGAAATGAAATTGCACAACAGCAGCCGTGAAGCACTCCGATGGGTCAGGTGGCCTTGATGCCTCTGCTGCTTCATAGAGGCCTGCCTGACTAGCAGAAGTCGCCGTCTTTGCTGTGTCATTGCTTTCGGCATCAACGTCAAAAGTGCCCGTTCCCTGTTCTTCGCGAGTGGAGCCAATGCGATCATGTGTTTGCTGATTGGCTGAAAATTTCTGACTCTCAAAGGGAACCGAGAAGGCCGCTGATCCTCCTCCACTTTCGGGAACAAAGACGGGCACGGATCCTCCGTCACATTCTCCCCTCCCTCTCCCATGACTCTCTTCTTCCTTCCCTTCAACAGGGTTACGGCGGTACCATGAACTGTATGCACTGCCAGCGATATCTACTGCAAGAAGATCGTCATCCAATTCATCCAGGGAGTGGGCAGTACCTGGGACATCTCCAATCTGATCATTCTTGGAGCCCTGTTTCAGAACACAAACAAACATCACAGCAAGTCAAGCAAATAGTTCTTTTTTTTTTACCGCCAGTGCATTGCCCAGACAAACTTGAGAATCCAAACCAATCCAATCTGAAAGTTTCGGAGGTTCGGGGCTGCCGGACCAGAATGACTAGCGGCATCAGCCAAAAGAAAAGAAAAACACTGCGCTGGCATTTCGGCAAAGCTTTGAATGAAGTGGGAATTCGCCTCAGCAAAAAGAGGCTCGGGATGTAATGGTGGTTTAATTCCTCTCCAGCTCCATTATCACATTGCTTCTTCATTTCCTAATCTCTTCATCTCTCTCCTGTATGTACACTACCAGGGAACACCTGCCAACCTGTTGCTCTCCCTAACACATGGGGGTAGGCTTGCACCATAGTGTTGGTGCAAGAGCGAGGCTGTACGGCCAGCCCCTCATCATGGTGATATGGGGATGAATGGGAAGGCGTCGCTGGCGGTGGAACACCGACCGTGCTAATGACCACAACCCCCTATCACCCCCACAAGGCAGCACTTCTTCCCCTATTTCCTTGTCTCCCATTTCCCTTTCCTCCCCATTTCCTCATTCCATAATTGTGGTGTCACCCTCCCCCTATTTCTTCCCCATCAAGCTGACTGCTCCTTCCCACTATCTTCCCCCAAGTCGTTGCCTCACATCCTCCTCCTCTGCCATCTTTCTCACTCCTCCCCCCCCTACTCCTCTCCCACCATCGCCTTCTCAATCTCACATTACTTCTCCCAACCTCCTCTGTCACCTTCCATGCTTCTTACCCCCCCCCCTCCCCCATTCAACCCTTATCTTCGGTTGGGGATTGCGGGATTTGAACCTGCAACCTGCCCACTTATTTTCTGTCTTTCAAGTTTCTGTTATTTTTGTTCTAGGATCTGAACCTGGGACAAAACAAATTCAGTACAGTTGTTTTGCTTTCTTTTGTCTTACTGTTCTGAAGAGTAGGAGTTTTGAACCCCGGACCTGCGTGTACAGTCTCTGTTTGCCCAACATAGTGGTATGATCTTTTGGTAGACAGACACTGTAGGCCTAGGGAAGTAGCTGCTCCTAAAAAATGACGAGTTGGGGCAAAACCCTCATTCAGAACTCACTTGTCATGTTTTTGCTGCTTGGTGAGACTATAGAGGCACTACTTCCAGCACTGAGCGAGAGAGAGAGAGTAGTATTCAACAATTCAATCTTAACTGGCTGGGAGGAACTGAAGGAGGCAGATTGGGGGAAGTGAAATGGCCGGGAAAGGAGGAGCAGGAGGAATCTCTAAAACGAGACTACCACCTAATTTTCAAAGACTGGTTTTCACTTCCTCCAGGAATCACTCTCAGATCCCCGGATTGCTTTCTTGATCCCTTCCCCCCTCTGAGTTGGCACTGGTTGATATTCAGTGGTATGCATTGGGTGATAGGTAAAATGTTGTGTTGAGACAAGGATAGTTCAAGTTAAGTATGCCTAGGATTCATTTCTGCGTTGCAATACAAGGGGTTCAATGACAAATACAGAAGTATCTGCTTGAATAGAGCTTTGTTGAAGAAGATAGGAGGTTGTACTGCTAGTTCAATCAAGGTTATCTGGCGGCCAGATTTTGGCTGAAGAGGTGGTCCTCCTTTTGACATTCTTTTTGATCTAAGATTATAATTCATTTGTATCAGGGACGCTGGACCCAGTTTCCAGCAGGTGCAGCTCCCCACCAATAGAATGGAGCATGTAGCCGGGCTGCTAGTGATGGCTGCTCTTATCACCATCACTAGCAACCCGAGGACATTTAAAAAGAAAAAAAAAAAAAAAAAAGAGAGAG